TGGCCCGATCATGCTGATTTTCGAACTTGACCTGCATTTTAGTAATATTGATTACTCCTGTGAGTTTCATGACAACAGGCCTAACGGTTTTCCTTAAAATGTGTTTACAAGGTTGCATATATGCTGAAAAGTGAAAAAACAGCATAACTTCTACAATAATGGCCCGATCATGCTGATTTTCGAACTTGACCTGCGTTTTATGAATATTCATCAGCTCTGTAAATATAAAGCCAAAAAGTAAAACTGCCTTCCACTTATCGTGTTTACAAGGAAAGTGCACGGCGACGGCATCGCCATCGGCGACGACAGACGCAGGTGATGGCAATATGTACAGACACATCTGTGTCTGTACATAAAAATTAATACTTCAAAGTTATTTCAATGCATCAAATAAATTACAGTACACATCTCCTTCATATGGGAAAAAGAAGGGGCTTTTATAATAGCTGGACAACTTACAATGGCAGAATGAGCTTCCTTCCCTCCTCCTCTCTTCCTTCCAGAAGCCGCTGCCTTGGATGGCTCAAAGTCCGAGTCCTCATCATTCTCTGGTCTGAGTAAAATTAATTTTCATCATAAGAAAATGTGCTTTCAGATAAAAATCATTGAAAAAACAGAGGTAAATACACTGCATTCATCTTAATTAACTTAAAATAACGTTTAGATCAAAAGTTTGCATCAGTAGCTTCTTTAAATATTTGGCAAAACAAACAAGTTTATAAAATAAATCATGTTATTAAAAGTAATATCAGTGACTTACACAGACACCTCAGAGGTGGGTTCCAACTCACTGGAAGCCATCTGAAAGGAATATAATTTTATCTTCAGAATTGTGACATGTTTCAAACCTGCACTCTATGTTTTGCTCTGTACAACTGATTTACTTTTCATTCATTTAAAATATGATATTATATATTACCCTTCCCCCCCCAAAAAAAAAATAATAATAATAAATAATACATGACAATTCTAATCCTTGAAACAGATCAGGCAACAGAAACCAAAAAAAAAAGTATCTGCGTTGGTCATACTGATTTCTTACCACATTCAACAACTGAGATCAGAAGACTCTATGTATATCAGCTATCTTTACATATCATGCATGTCAAGTGTGTAAAGGCAAAAGCCAAAGGGGGGGGGGGGGGTCAAATGCAATCAAAATTTACAGCAGATCCTGCTGCATGAGTCGATCAAACATTGCACAAGGTAATATTCAGAAGCAATCATTACGATATAATCGAAAAATAGGAGCCCCTCAGGAAAATTTAAATGGCTAGAATAGTAGATACTCCACGTCCGTCTATCTCAGCATCTCTTCAATTTACTGAGTGCAGTAGCCGGCTGCACAAAGAAAGGCTCGTTCTCCAAAACCACCTCTCTGATTGTCTTTGTGCTTGGCGTGTTACAAAATTATTGTCTGTAGATTTTATTGTTTACAATTGTGATTCTTAACTTACCTTTCTTTTTGTCTGATCTTTGACTTTCTCTCACCCAGTTCCGTACACAAAAATATACGGCGGGAAAGCGGGTCAGGTCAAGGACGCCTGCCTCGTTTTGAGATTGGTCACATGACTAAACGCGGCGACTTCAAAGTTGAAAAGCTGTCAGAAATCGCTAAATGACGAAATCAGGTAAATTTTTTCACCTTTTGATAATACCGACCAGTTAAAATTGCACTGATGTATACATAGTTATCTGTAAGATGCAGCAGTTGCTCTCGATCGTCTCTCAAAGTTAGATTTAAACATGATCAGCTAAGATAACAAAATATGAAGCACAGAAATTTAAAGGGACAACGAAGTCCCCCTCCCTATATCTCCCTCTCATGACTGTGTACGTTTTTTTATCAATAAATACAAAAATTTTGAAAAGTGGTGTGGCTACTTGAGATGGGTACAACCTGGTCACTATTCTTTATAAATATGTCGCCACTAATAAAATGGAATATATTAAGTAATACTTTCTGAGTAATCATTCAGGGAGATAATATGCTATGCAAAACTACCGGAGTATGAACTTGATCACTACATTACATAGCACAGTTGACATTAAACTAGGGAATTACATGTATATAATAATGTGAAAACGGGTTGATACATATTATTTGAATTTTTTCCAGATAAGACAAAGGAAGAGTGACATCATGGCGCACTTTAACTTTGAGAACAACCTGAGTGAGCTGACCAAGCTTGACGCACCAATGCAGAGGGGTCCGTTGATGAGATGGCAGAGGAAGGCCCTCAGTCTGGATGACCAGGCCGGGGCTGGAGGGAGCAGTGACAGACATCTATCTCTGCCTGAAGGTGGGTTAATTTTAATACTTTTTAATACCCCCCCCCCCCCCCAGCCATTTTGTTATAGCATATTTTTGAGTTTCACACAAAGAGATGGCCAAGTTTCACCATCAAATAAGGGAATAATGATTGTAGAGTCAGTATTTTGGGGGAAGCGAGTATATGTAACTCTTAAGCAATGTTCCTCTTTTATTTTTCACACTTTTTAAATTTTTTTAGCAGGAATAGCTGGGGGACTGTCTCCAAGACGTACTAGAATAGGCTCCTCGAGGACCCCAAGCAAAGGCCCCAAGACTCCACTGACCTGCAGGACACCAAACAGAACTCCTGGGAAAACACCTGGGAATTCAAAGAAAGTTTCTGGGAAAACACCAAATAAGAAAACCCCCTTGACCCCTCACAGTGACAGGTTTGCTGACTTTTTCCTGATTTTTGCCAAATATGTTTATATTTTATTTATATAAATTATGACATTAAAATAACAATGATCAATAAGTCCAGCTTATCCCTTGTGTTAAATTAATACATCAGGTTCAACCCCCCACCTTCTTTCCATCAGTTCAATCTTGGACATAATAAGTGATTATGTTCAAGGTTCAATTTATACCCACTGTGTTTATGACCTCAACAGATTCTCCACTTTCCTTTCCCCATATACCCATACATTTCATTCCCAGTGTTTATTTGACTTCTACAGGTTCACTCACCCCTTCTCCCCATAAATTGACTTAATCCCCAGAAAGGCTTTCCCCAGAGAGCTATCCAGTTGTCATTTGGACAGCAATTTGCCACAATAGACTTCCTATATTTCTAAATACAGCTGGATGACTTACAAAGTTAATGGGTTGGTTGGTTGGGTTTGCTTGTGTTGGACTCCCTGTGAAGGGATGAAAAAATTAAAGATTCACATTTTGGACTCCCTGTAACCCAAATCCTGGGGAAACCCCTGATCCCCAGTGTTTATATTGACTTCCACAGGTTCATCCCCAGCCGGTCCACCACAGACCAAGACCTGGGCCACTACCTGATGATGAACAATGAGAATGAGAACCCCCTGGCAGGCGGGAAGGTGGACTACCAGCAGAGAGTGACAGAGAACATCTGCAAGGGGCAGCAAGACCCACAGAATGCCAAGATATTGTCATTTAGACAGAAGGCACCACAGGCAAAAGAAGGTGAAAAGACAGTGTTTTTATAGTTATATGTGCATGAATGCATGCACTCACACGTGTATGCACATATGTGCATGCTCACTCACACACACACACACACACACACACACACACACACACACACACACACACACACACACACGGTTTTACTTGAGTATAATATAGCATGGGTAAGTTCGTTTAATAGTCCCTATAAAGTAACATACGCACAGGATGCCTTATTCACGGGTGAAGCACATGCCTTGGCCGTGAGATGTAAAGCACATGTGGTGGTCACAGGCACATATATACCATATGAGCATATGCCATAGTCACAGACCAGCATGTAATCACGCATTCTTGCAGGCAGGCATATATGCAAACTGGGACCACATAAACGTGTTTTCTTTCTTCATTTTAGTCAAATAAAAACATTTTTCACCAAGTCCATCTCGGTGATCTCAGTGTACCATTCCAGGTTATCTGAACAACCTGAAGGTCCTGTACAGCTCTGGCAAGTGCTCGGCCCCCAAGGCTCTATCTACCAGACAGATCCCTCAACAGCCTGACAGAATCCTGGACGCTCCTGAGCTACTGGATGATTACTGTAAATATCAGAATGATGCCGCTCGCTCAGAGTTTCAGTGAGCCTAGGGTGCTTGAATTCTTCTACACAGCATAGGCCGTATTCAGAACAACAGACTAACTAATCCACGGTTCAAATATGGCAGGCCCACTTGAATACTTCCCCACAGTACTTACGCAGTGTCTCTTAGCGGATAAGATGGCAAGCTTTTTAGTCGGTCACCATATTTAGCCTGCAGACTTGTTAGTCCTCTGTAATGAAAGCAGCAATATTATCTGTCACCCTGAGTTTCAGGGCTCTGATGTTAACTTTCCCAAACTGGTT